CCCCCCCCCCAAATCTTGCAGCCCTGCCAATAAATTTATAATTGCTAATATCTGCTGATAACCCATATGGTAACAATATGTTGTGCATCCTTACAAATAAAATGGAGAATTTTCGACAAGCTTGGTTAGAGTGACTAATAACCCAGAGGGCATGTTCTGTACCAGTGCTTCTCAAAAAGTTTTGCTTCAGGACAAAGTGGTAATCCAACACATTTTTTGGGTCGCAACCCATCAGTTGAGGGCCACTGGTCTGTACTACCCCATCTGATAGTCATTATGCTCATGTGATGGAGAACGGGCATGTTCTTGTTCATGTTCATGGCTTGTGCCCATGCATGTGGCTTGCGTTGGCATTGTGAAATGCTGAACATGGCAGCAGCTTTTCCCTCAGCATGGTGCTTTACCTTCAGCTAAAAAAAGAGAGAAAATGGCTTTGTGCACTGGCGAGCTTTTTGGTTAACTAGGCTGAATGCTGGCATTGGACTTACTTTTCCCTTTATGTCCAGGTATGATTCTCTATAATGGACAAAAGAAGACCACCGGTGCTGACTTCTTATCTTTTGGATTGGTGGGGGGCCGTCCTGAATTCAGGTGCATTAATCTTCAATATCAAAGCAATCTTAAGGATACAAAATTTCATATCTGAAACTAGATTTAACTTTGGCTTTTTAATGTGATGTTCCAAATGTGCATATTTTCCTTCCACAGGTTTGATGTAGGCTCTGGTATGGCAACTATTCGTTACCCTACTTCCATTAAACTGGGCGAGTTTCACACAGTGAAGCTGTATAGGAATGAGACTCAGGGCTCTCTTGTTGTGGATGGAGAAGCTCCTATAAATGGAACCTCACAGGTGCATATTCCTCCCTCCATAATTTGCTGATTTGTTATGCTTTCTTATTAATAAACCATGTTAAATGTTAGTATAGTGGCGATTAAACAAATGTAGTATAACATGTTCTGTGTCCGAGCAGGGAAAATTCAAGGGTCTGGATCTGAATGAGGATCTTTTTGTGGGCGGTTATCCAAACTACAGCATGCTTGCTAAAACTGCAGGCCTCGAGACAGGGTTTGTCGGTGAGAAAACCCTTGTGTTATGTGAATTTTGTAGGAAAGTGTCAGTTGTAGTGTTATTATCATTTGCATTCTTACACTGAGTTTTGGTCTTTCTTCAAGGCTGTATCAAGCAGCTGATTATCCAAGGTGAAGAGATCATTTTCAAAGACCTTGATAAAAGTTCCACCGGAGTTTCGAATTGTCCCACTTGCAAGGATCGCCCATGTCAGGTAATCGTTTACAAAAAAAATTGTCCTTTGAATTAAAAAGTACAGTGACCCAAAAAAGTATTTGAACACTTTTCATACAAAAGTATCAAATTAAGTAGCATCTAGAACGCAGGACTAGCATGAATTTTCTTGGCACTTTTAAACAACCACAGTGATCTTAAATGGACAATTTTTTGGGACCAGTGAATGCATTTTTTGTGGTTGGCCTGTGAAAATCGATTAGCTAAAGCAATGTGTGTGTTTCAGAATGGTGGCGTATGTGAGGACTCTGCCGCCAGTCTCTACAAATGCAGTTGCCCAAGAGGATTCGCAGGGAGCAACTGTCAGCATCACTCTTCCTTGCACTGTCACACAGGTCAGCATTTATAAAATCAGGAACAGGCTTTGTAAACAACATGCTTGATGTTCATTATTCTTTTTGCCTATGACTGCAACAGAAGCCTGTGGACCAGATGCCACCTGTATTAACCGACCCAGTGGTTTGGGCTACGATTGCCGATGTCACTTGGGCAAGTCTGGAAACAAGTGCATGGATGGTAAAGCTCAATATCCAGTCACATTTAAAATTTTCTAACCGCTTTAAGGTCAAATGTGGTTCTCACTTTCCCTCTTCATGATAATCCCAGGTACTCTGGTAACAACTCCATTGTTTGATGGCGACGAGTCTTATATTGCGTATCCTCCTCTTACTAATATTCATAACGACCTCCGGATTGAGATGGAGTTCAAGCCCATGGATTCAGATGGGCTGATGTTCTTCAGCGGAGGCAAAAAGATGAAAGTGGAGGACTTTGTGATGTTATCCATGGTGGATGGACATGTCGAGTTCCGATATGAACTTGGAACAGGTGAGCGATCTGATGATCAAATCATGATGTATTCTTTGCAAAAAATTTTTATTTATTTATGTATTTAATTTTTTGTGCACATGCGTCATGGTCATTGAAAGAAACCAGTGTTATTTCAGTGTTGTTGACGTAATATTATAGTTTTTGTTGATATTTTGTATTAGTTTTTTTTTATATTTTCTTTTTTTAAATTTTAGTTAAAGTTTTAGTAGTTTAGGTAAAGTTTTAGTTAAAGTTTTGTTGTGTTTTTGTCGTGTTTATTATTATTATTATTATTATTATTATCTTTTTTTTAAATGGCTAAATAGTTTTGTTTTCAGGGTTTTTTAGATTTGAGGTTTTTGTTTGTTTGTTTGTTTTATATGTTCAAGGTTTATTTAATACTTTTATTTTATTTCACTGGATTTTTATTTGATTTCAAGTAATTTAAATTATTATTTTTTATTATTCTTATTTTAGTTAACAATAATAACCCAGAAAAGAAGGGCTTAATCTTCGGAAAAGGGTGATCATCACCCTCAAGAGGTTAAACTAAATATTGTATTAATATGAAATTGTTGATTTTCTATTCATTTGATGTAATGTTTACAACCCTCTTACCCAAATGTTGGACACCAAGACCCTGAGTTGTGTGGTTTTATTTTTTCATAGCACTAAACATTAACATTAAAAAACTAAATTAAATGGTTTAAATTTAGAAATATAGAATTCAAGAATTTAAGAATTTTGCATAATTTCGCACACATAGATATAGATATATAAAATATATCATATATCATATATATCATAATATATTAATATAAAAGTACTTTTTAAATTAATTTTAAAAAATTAAATAATTTTTGAATGAATTTAAATATTTTTTTTATTAAATAAACCTGTAGATGTACAGTACAATTCTGTCCAAGAAAAACAACAACAAAAAACAAAAACAGATTTGTGCCTCTAATTTTGTGCCCCCTTTCCCACCTAAAAGGTCTTGACCTTTCAAAAAAATGTTATTTGACACCAAAATGAAAAGTACCTCCTCACCTGAGTGCAATGTAACCTTACAGATAGTGAAACCTAGAAGCGGAATACAGTGGCTTGTTCCTATCCTGTCCAAGCTAAATATGCATGCTTTTTTCCCCCCATGTTCTCAGGTCAAGCTGTTCTGCGCAGTCAGGAGCCCGTGTCTCTGGGTCAGTGGCATCGCGTGGTGGCGGAGCGGCTCAATAAGGACGGCTCCTTGAAGGTGGACCACACACGAGAAATCACAAGATCGTCTCCAGGCAAGGCCCAGGGCCTTAATATCCACACACCCATGTATCTGGGAGGAGTGCCCAGCATGGACATCTTGCCCAAACCTGCCAATGTTAGCATGCTGTTTGATGGATGCATAGGAGAGGTGAGAATGGCCTTCACACTAAGTGTTGTGTTCATTACAGCCCACAGTCATGCTTTGATATTAAATAGTTTCATATTGGCTTTGTTTTTCTTTACAGGTCTTCATCAATGGAAAGAAGTTGGATATATCATACAGCTTCACTGAAAGCAGAGCCATCAGCCAGTGTAAAGATGTCAGCCCATGTGACCGCAGGCCTTGTCTGCACAGAGGCACCTGTATGGCCAGTGCTGAGTACGAGTACCAGTGCCTCTGCGCTGAAGGATACGAGGGTAAGTCACTTAACCAACTCGTATTTGTGTTTGTATTTAATGTTGGTATTGATATTGACTATGGTAGTACTTGATACTGGAAAGAAGTGGGTTCACCCATCCCTATTTTTAAGGTCATAAGGAAGTCTCTGAAAATCTTCCATAAATTTTATTTCTAATAATTGTTGTTTAATCCAAATTGATTCCATATTTGTTGGATATATCATACAGCTTCACTGAAAGCAGAGCCATCAGCCAGTGTAAAGATGTCAGCCCATGTGACCGCAGGCCTTGTCTGCACAGAGGCACCTGTATGGCCAGTGCTGAGTACGAGTACCAGTGCCTCTGCGCTGAAGGATACGAGGGTAAGTCACTTAACCAACTCGTATTTGTGTTTGTATTTAATGTTGGTATTGATATTGACTATGGTAGTACTTGATACTGGAAAGAAGTGGGTCTCTGAAAATCTTCCATAAATGTTATTTCTAATAATTGTTGTTTAATCCAAATTGATTCCATATTTTCCATTTCTTGCTTGTTGTTCCTCAGGTGACCGTTGTGAAATAGTAAGGGAGAGCTGTCGAGACTCCTCTCAGTGTCAGAACGGTGGCAGCTGTGTGAATAACCACTGTGTGTGTCCCGCCGGCTACACAGGCCGGCACTGTGAGAAAGGTTAGTTCACAGCTGCTAGATGTTTAACACATTGTTTTGCAAAAATCTTCTTGTATGTGATTTTTGCCTTCTGATTAGTGATTGCATTGATGCACGTATATATATTGTACATTTATTGTTATGTGTTTCTATATTGTACATTACTGTCAGCTCTTTGCACCCAAAGTCCACTTTATCTTTAAGGAAATATTATAAGTAGAGAATGGTGCTAGTTATAATATTTCTCAATGTATGTTTATTTTTGAAAGACACACACTTTAGTCTTGGGCAGAATAGAAGCTAATGTACATTTTCACTGTTATTGCCCATGACAAAAAAAATACATTCATCAAACAGATACAGTTGACTTGTGATCCAAATAGCTTCATGAGCATAAATATGACGTTTAAATGTTAGTTTGGAGAATTCACAAGTTTTAAACTAGCCCAGTCTCACATACTAGTGTTATTTTTGTATTATTTATATACTAATATTTGATTTATTCATATTTTCATTTAGCTTATGTTTGATTTTGAGTTTTTATTTTAATTTTAGTTTGTTTATTATTTATGTTTTATTCGTTTTTTATTTCTATTTAGCTTTATTTCTATTTTAGATTTCATCATTATTTTTTACTTCAACTTCAACTTATTTAATTTTACTTAGATGGCAAGGCAACAACTACGTTTTTAAGTATACATTTCTTTATGTATTTCATCCAATATTTATATTTTATTTCAGCTTTTTTCAATTAACAAAATTAGTTTTTAATAGTCCTATACATTTATTTTACATTACGTTTTAAATATTGTCATTTAACATCTATGGCGATAAACATACAGCTAACTAAAGCCAATATGTGTGCAATGTGAATTTAAATTGCTTTATCATTCATACTGATGATATATTGGTCTCTTTAGACACGGTTTGCCTCGTTTGTCATTTTACAGAATTCACATTCTCTGTGGGAATAAAGGCATTTCTCAGTAGTTTCATAGCATTAAACTGAACCACAGCTGTAAGTGATTCATCATAAAGCACCATAGGGAAATAATTGTCGGTTCTTCGTAACGTACCGTGGCGACACCGGTCAGGCTGCCTAACGTCATCCAGCAGTAGCGTGTTGACCGGTGAAAGAGGCCACATGTGAATGAATCTCACCCCTGCACTCTCATGGCTATCCCACACACACAGGGCAGGAGTCCAGCTTCACCGAGGCGCTGTGGAATTTGGAGGGTAATGGGGGAAATGGTACAGTATGACTACAGTCTGCCTGACACGCTCGTCACTAACCAGGGGAGAGCGTCCTCCTCGGGGCCCATCAGCCCATCTAACAGCACAAATAAAACAACCACAACAAACGGCCTCAATGTGGGGACAAAAGGAAGCCAGAAAGTGAATAATTTTAGGGGTCTGTTTACAGAGCTCTTATTACCAACATCTGAGGCAATATCAAGCACATTTCTAATCAACAATACAGATGAAGAAAATTATTTTTGAAATGCATTTAAATTCATTGATATTGTTGAAAAAAATCCTTATTAAAATCATCTTGAAAATAAATTTATCCTGATAAAAATAACTCAAAACTTGTAAAAAAAAAAAAAAAAAAAGTGTAAGATAAGATTTTTTAAAGATTTTTCATGTTATGAGCATAAATATTTAAATGTAGTGAGGTTTGTTCTTTAAACTATTTGTGAGTAGGGTTAAAGATTATTTGACAACATATTTGCTTATTATCTACATTATTTATGCAGTTATGCAAATTCGTTGTTTTAAGGATGTTCTGATATTTTAATAAAAACCTTTTTTAAATATTAAGACAATTATTTTTCTAGTATATTTAAACTGCCATTCAAAAGTCTGAGACTTTTGAAAAGTTTCAGCTTTTTAAAAAAAAATGCATTAAAAAAACATTATTCTAACTTGTAATAACATTTCATAATATTTTTGATCAAATAAATGCAGCCTTACTGAAAAGAAATCTTCAAAATATCTTACCGACCCCAAACCGTTGAACAGTAGTGGATGTATATTAATGTATTTAATGCTGTAATGAATATCTAAGAAGTGCTCGATGTCGCTGAAAGTTTTCTTAAACAAAATAAAAACGTATAGCAGCTTATTGATACTGTTGTCTTGTAAATAGATCCCTGAAATATTGTGCTTTCAAAAGGAATGGTCTCAATCTGCACTCTGCACTCAGTTGGTTACTGTGTCCTCTGTGAAGTCTTAAATGTAACGTTGAGGGGGAATTCTGTGTCTTCACTGTGATACGCTTAAAGTTTATGGTAGTTTTGCAGTTTTTGTGGGCAATATTAAAATTATGACAGTTGCAAAGCTGTGACATTTTCTTAAGGCGAACATACATAGAATTCCCCTTTAGCATCTCCTGAGGCGTCTTGTCCAGTCAACCTCTCGCTGCAGTTTCAATTTGTCATCTCTTTCTCATTAAATCCTTGTTTCTCTTTGTTGCGAAACCAACAACCAACATCTTTTCCGCACTTTCACCTACAGCGACGTCTGTAAACAAAATGTCCTCACACTGTGAACAAACACGTTTTTAGTTACTAACCACCGAATGTCCGTCATTTACACACTTGAGCCGACCGGACAGGTGAGTTTACAGCCAGAAACACTGAGCATGAAGCACTTCTTGGTAAGCACTCAGTTGCCTGAGGGTTCTCCGGTTATTACATGGTTCAAGAGAATGCTTTGTGAGGAATGCGTATTGTTGTTCCCAGCTGTGAATGTTACCTTGACAGCAGTGTGTATTTGCATTCATTTTCATTTATCTCATGAAGATAAATTCAATGTATGTTGGACTTTTTCTGAGTTGCCCTTGATGATTGTACTGTATGTTTTTCACAATGAAGCCTGCTATTTGGAGTCTCACATTTATAACTTATAAAATAAATAGTAATTCATCAGATCAGATGCGAGTTAATGTAGTCAGGGGTTCAGTTCTGTTCATTGATTGCTTATTCTGTTATTTGGTGAAGCTCCACAGGGTGGTAGTATAACACAGAGTTGGCATCTGGGATTTATTTTTTTGGTTTCTCTTTTCCAGACTCTCCTATTGAATATTCTGCATATTTCCATGATAATGGATATCTGGCCCTTCCAACGCCCATGTTCCCACGAAGGTGAGGGCCCTTCATATGTGAAACAGTTGATGAACTGTGTTTGGTGTTTGTTTAACTGGTGTAATTATACAAATTCAGCAGTTTTTACCACAGAAAATCAATTTGTCTCGTCTCTCAGCTTGTAAAAGCAAACAAAAATATTTTTGTTTTGACTATTGATGGTTTGATTTGTTTCAGTGCTCCTGACTCTCCAGAGACCATTGAGTTAGAGATCAACACTGTCTCTAAAGACGGCCTCATCATGTGGCAGGGAGTGGTATGTTTGTACACATGAGCCCCCTACTGGATCTCAGGACACATACACTCAGGGTCCAAAATTAATAACATTTACTGTTAACTTAAAATAACTCAATTTTCATAAACTAAAATAATTATTTGGTATATGTATGTGTGTGTGTGTGTGTGTGTGTGTGTATATGTACCTTAAAATAGTTGCAATTGAAGGTACCGTTTCTTCATTGATAATTTTGGACCCTGCATACTCTCACATTCTGATACTGTATGCACAGTGTGTTTTACATTTCATATTCAGCCTCATTTCACTAAACTGAGTAAAATGAGTTTGCTTGGAGCTGTTTTGGAATATAGTTTTTGTCCCTCACCTCTAAAGCACATTTTAATGGCTGCATTGCATGTTTGCCTGGCTAACTCACCTTCATCCTCCTCAGGAGCCTGCAGGCGCTCTAAGCCTCCGTAAGAAGCATGCTAGTATAAAGGTATTCCCTCTTCACAAGCAGTCAGACATACAAATATGTCTGTATTAGTCATTATCTCTGAATATATACAAAGGAGCTTTGAACGTTACAACACTTGCACAGATAAACATTCAGAAAACAGCACTTATATTTACCTTTGATTTAGCAAATGCTTTTTCTCTACATCACTTACAGTACACTAACTGCTGGCACAGTTCCTCAATTTATACACAGTTATACATTAATTGCGAGTAAACAAATGAAATGTCACTGCATTTATTGTTTGCATGTGTTAGTGTGATTTAAATGTTTGCTCTTTCTTTATGCCAGTGGTTCCCAACCCTGTTCCTGGAGCAAATTCCAAGCAAAATTCTGTTTCATGCTAAATGTGCAGTGTCACGGGCTCCAGGAACAGGGTCGGGAACCACTGATTTATGACATAATAATTAGCCTTATGCTTGCATATTTATCACCTGCTTTTACACCTGTTCAATCAACACACCTGTGTATCCAACAGTTTATGACATACATTTACACTTCTCACAAATAGGGTAAAAAAACGTTTTTTGTTAAGTTTTGTTGTACAGTCAACAATTTCTGAAGGTTTTTTTACCTTTCGAAATTGCTGACTATTACCAGCTATATGTTAATCAAAACCATATTTTGTGAATGAAACGTCTCCTTCAGTGGATTGAAATTCAGCAGATTGTCATACATTTGATGTGTTTAAAACCAACTAGTAGGGTACTTGTCTTACAGTTTTTTTTTTTTTTTTCTGGACTATTTAAACTGTGCCTTTTGGTCATGTTATAACTAATATTATACATAAGAGAAATGTTATTCGTAGAGACATCTTCATCAATACACACAACTGTTTAAATGTTTGGCTCCAGAAGCCTGTGGTTTACATCCATATTCCCTCCTGATGACTCAGAGAGACTGACTTGAATATTTCACTGAAAATGCTTTCCAGGAACTGGGAGGTCAAGGAAAGGGGAAGGACTTCATAAGTCTTGGTTTACAAAATGGACATCTTGTGTTTAGGTGAGTAATAAGCACATTTTCATACTAACAAGCCACACGGGTACATGGCTTAAGAGTCTAATGTGATGACAGTATAATAACCTGGAAATAGTTTGAAATATACACAAGATCTCATGAGTTCTGTTAATATGGTTCTTTGCTGCAGCCAGTATATTTCAGTTTCTTACCGATCTAGATCAGTCCTTTGTAGCCGGTCATAATGTGCTCTTGTTCCTCTGATAGTTACCAGCTGGGCAGTGGAGAGGCTCAGATTCTCTCCAGAGAGCCAGTCAATGATGGACAGTGGCACATGATCACTGCAGTCCGGTAACGCGCCTTACCTCTCCAAACTGTTATAGAAAGCATGACAGAAAGATAATAGTGAGAGTTCTTTCTGTGTGTTGAACAGAACGGGTAAGCAGGGCTACCTCCAGATCGATGGAGGATCTGTCCAACGTGGACAATCACAAGGCAAAAGCATCATGGTGAACACCAAGGGCAACATATACCTGGGTAAGTATAACATTACAGTGGTATTTGTTTACTTGTATTGATCAGATTGTTGTTTCACTCTTAACATCCATGAAGTGATGTAGACCAGTGTTTCCCAACCGGGGTGCTGTCTGTCGAGAGCAGGGGTGTTAATATTGTGACAAAATTAATTTTGTAGGGTGCCACAAGTTTGTTAAAATTTCCAAAGGGTGCCGCGACTGAAAAAAGGTTGGGAAACACTGATGTAGACTATGTAGATGTTGTTCTGAAAAAAGGGGTTTTTAAAGAAATTATATAAATAAATAATAATTCTAAAGAAAACACTACTGTTTGTAAAGTTTGGGTCAGTAGAATGTTTCTTTTTTGAAAGAGATTAATACTTTTATTCAGCAAGAATGCATTAAATTGATCAAAAGTGAAAGTAAAGACATTTAATAATTTAATAATAATTAATAATTTAATAATTGATGCATTTAGTAGATGCTTTTATCCAAAGCGACTTACAGTGCATACATTTTTTACCAGTATGTGTGTTCCCTGGGAATTGAACCCACGACCCTTTGCGCTGCTAACGCAATGCTCTACCATTGAGCCACAGGAACACATAAACTCTTCAAAAATTTAATAGTTTAAAGATAGTTTAAAATCGTATTTCTATTTCAAATAAATTTCGTTTTTTTGTCCTTTCTGTTTATCAAAGAATCCTGAAGCAAATGTATTAGTTTCCACAAAAATATTAAGCAGCATGACTGGTTTGAACATTGATACCAATAAGAAATGTTAGTTAAGCACCAAATCAGAATGATTTGAAGGATCATGTGACACTGAAGACCTGTGAACATAAGAGACTTCTTTCGAAAACATTTAAAAATCTTTTGAACAGTAGTTCATTATTTTTTTCTTGTCCAGTTTGGTGCATAAAAACATGGGGAAATTATTATATTTTCAAATATACTCTCTTTAGAGGGCATTAGCATTTATTACAAAAATGAATTTAAGACTCTAAAATCTAGGCAAAAATATTAATTTTCATTCACATGCTTTTCTTAAACATATCCTAACTCAAAAATCAAAACTATTATTGAATCGTTTTGTAAAGGTATAAGACTTCTGCTAAACATAGAGTAACCAAACTTTGCACATAGTTTCTCTTACCTGATTTATTCACGCAACCATCTAAATAAAAATCATGCCCTAAGTTTGGATGCCCCCTACAGATGACACATAGAAATGGCTTTTTCTTGTAAAAGAAACTCATAATCATTTGATTCGGACATAAGGTTGTTGGTATTTGGACTGTAGGTGGAGCTCCAGACATGAAAGCATTGACCGGTGGGAAGTACTCATCAGGTATCACAGGCTGCATGAAGAATCTCTCTCTGATGAACGCTCGACTAGGAGAACAGCCAGCGCGACCTATCGACCTGCAGGTCCACGCAGAGGAGGGCATCAACGTGGAGCGCTGCTTAACATAGACGCAGTACTAAAACACTAGCAGAGACTACAGAAAAAGACCCCTCATCCACATTCACACTGAGACGCTTACAGGACAAACTACAGTCACACTTTAAGAGACATACTGACACGTGTTTCTTGGTGCTTCACCGCAACCGAAAAAAACACACAAGAAAGGATTCTTTGCTCTGTGCTGCGTTAAACCAAAAAACGAGAAAGAAAAAGTTATGATATTAACAAGTCTTCAATTTTTCAGTGTTTTATGCTCAATGAAGGACTTATTAACACAGAAGCTCAGTTTACATACTCCGAACAGTAGGTTTATAACCATGAGAAAAAGATGACGAAAAAGGTTTAAAAATAAACGTGATGAGCCTTCTACGGTGGGTCAGATCCTATGGAATCGGAGATGTTTTTACAGCACTGAATTTTATTTATAAGCATATTAATCTATATATATTATATTTGTGGGGGGAAATGCAAGCTAACAATAACCTGCTCATTTGTTTTCCTAGCAGTGATTCTAGGCTCTAATAATGCGTGTCTGAGGTTTAGTGCCCGAGCTGTGTTAATACTTGAAGACTGTGCTGCCTTTTATTCTGTTTGAGGGCCAGTGGGGGCGAGCATGCTTAGATACCTTAATGAACGGGTCTCTGTGGGGTCACAGCACAGAAGACGTCAAGAAGCATCTCAGGTGAAGAAAAAAATACAAATTGGGAGATCACATATATACGGTGTCAACTGCATATATTTGAAATGACATGACTTCCATGCTTGGAAACATTGCTGTGTCTAGTAATATAAAAAAAAACATGGTGCTAAATTCAGACATGACAAAGGCAACAAAACAAGCACATAATCATAGTTTCAGTTTCTTGTCATTTTTGCTTCTCTGAATGGATTGTAAGAAATAAAAGCCGCAGCTTTACAATTAAATAAAACACTGTTTACTGATTACAATCCCTCAAGCCAAAGTATTGAGACTGAAGTTCGTTTTAGATTAAAAGTGGATGTGTTATCTCTAAATAGTGAAATATTTTGACATTATATTGGTTTTTTTTTTGTTTAATAACAGAATTAGAATGATTACAATTCTTATAGTGGATGACAAATGTTACAGAAAATCACATAATTGAAAATCATTATTTTTACAGTCTTATCTATTTCTCACAGTTTTGCTGTTAACAACCACACTAACATATTATTTTGCATGATTGATTTGTATTGAGATGTCTTTTTCCATTACATTCATATTCTTTAGGAGTCTTACAGAGTACGTTGAACAAAAGAAGAAATGCGTGTCATCTTCAAGGTCCTCCAGAGGGTTAATGGAGAACTGACTCATCTACAGCAAACCATGAAGGATCATTATCTCAATCAGAATGTACTGGAAGAGATTCTTTCTGGTTGTTCTCATTGCATAGAGAAATGAATGTGAGAAGAGACAGAATAGAAGGTCTACAGTGAAAATACTGCCTAGTGAAACCCCTCTTTTATTAGTGCTGTGACTTGGAGCTCTAATGAACATGCTCGCCCACATGGGCCAGACGGGTCAAAGGTCACTTTGGCCCCCTTGTGTCTTTTTCACCGTTTTATATGACTGAGGCTTGTCTGTTAATTTTCTTTTAAAAAAGCAGCATTACTGCTTAAAGTTGCTTTACTTTTATTATTATTATTTGATTCTGTCTTTTGTCATCACTGATTTCCGAGCCAGAAATGGCTTTAAAGCATGATCACACAAGCTGGTGTTTTTTTTTTGTGTGCTAATTTGTAATGTGTCTTACACCTACTGCACCACTCGATCTGTGCTTTTGTGTTTGAATTTTGATATTGAGATCAAAGATGGCTGAGGAATCCAGTTCTGTCTCAATAGTGTACAATAATTTCCCACAATCTACATGACATGTGAGTTCAGTGTTTGGCAGGCTGCAGCCAAAACCCTTTTAAAAAGTGGCTTTTCATGTCATTTCAACCCTGATGGCTGTAGGAGTATTTTTTTTTCTTTTGAACGATGAGTAAAAAGATTCAAATGTAAACATCTCTCTGACGTTATTTATTGAGGTTCATTGTTCTTGCTGTTCTTAACTGATGTTGTAATTAGGGCTGCAAAGGGGTGGAACATTTCTGGTAAATTTTCGGAAGCTTTCCAAAAATTCCTGGAAGATTCCAAAAAATCCTCGAAAGTTTCTGAAATGTTTCTGAAATTTACTGGCAATTACAACCCTAGTTGTAATACATTAAATGAAACACTCACACCACACAAATCCACACTCAACTATAAACTTTAAATATTATGTTGAAGCATCAAGTTAGGGTTCCGGTGTTATGCTGAATTCTGTTTTGATAAAGAAACAAATGTAAAACGCATTTTAATTATGTTTGTTTTATTTACAAGTTTTAAAGCAGCACTATGTAACTTTTTCGGTGTTCAAAATCTGCAAAATGTATATAATGAGCGAGTACATCATGAATTCATCTTCCAAACCGCGTTTTTGTCTTATTCCGAATCACTACGGTACACTTATAATAAGTACTTATATTTGAACTATTGTAGCCTGGTTGGGTTGTCGCCGCTGCGGAGTAACACCACGTGAATCGTCACGGAGTAATCTGCGTGAATCGCCATAGACATAAACTTAGAGAAGTAGCTCCGGTTGGAATGTTCTTCCGCGGGATGTGTGCAGTTCTGTTTATTAACCGCTAGAGCGCCAAAAGTTACACAGTGCTGCTTTAAATATCAGGCTTGGCTGTTTATACACTTCCAGATGGTTCTGAGTCTGCTGAAAGCTCGTCTTGCTTTGGCTCTGTTATGAGTGCCAGTGACGCTACCAAGATACATGAAACCATTCACATCCTCGACTGATTCTCTCAGTGGTAACTAGGTCAGAGACAGAAGCATTGATACACCTGACCTGCGTCTTCTACTTGTTTATGTGAAAGCATCTCTGCTCAGTCTTATCAGTTTTTTTTTTCTCCCTGAACGTGGGTTCCTGGTTGTAGCAGTTGACACTGACAGCCTTTATGAGTGAGTCATTGAACATTCACCCTAACGGAAGCGTTCAAGTACATTCAGGAACGAAATGAGTAGGCCTAACTCTGTGAGTGATTCATCAAATCATTCACTCCAGATGCTTCGTTCATTCAGGAATAGAAAAGTGTGTTATCACTATCACTTGCAGTCGTGCTGTTGGTCTGAATATCAACAAACCTGCTGCTTAGGCTTTTCCATACAATAATGCTAATGATGAAATTAAATGTCAAGTTTGAAAAAGAACAAAAGTCCTGATAAAACTGGTAGACTGCAACTGGCAAAGCAGTTTTCCATGATTTAACCAGACTTATTTCTGTTTTGGTATGGCAGCAGAATGCTGCTGCACTTTCAAAAAGTGCAATTGCTAACAATGTAATATTGATCATTAGTATCTTAATTATAAGAACATCTGCTGTGTTATGTAGTTACATGGTGTTATTAGTTGTTGAAAGAGTGCATAATCTGCATATTCATGTTCATCTGTTTGTGAGCTGTACGAAGTGGATAACACAGCAATTAATATGCTTTTTGAAACAAAAAAAAGTAAATTGATTGAATCTGATAAAAAGCTACATGTGCTGTTTCAGTACTGTGTTTTGAGAAACCTTTAAAGGGGTCATATGATGTGATTTCAATTTTTCCTTGAAAGGCGGGGCATAGAGGAGAAACAATAATGTACATTATGTGGAAAATAATGTGTTTTTTTAACCTTAAACCGCATAAACACATTGCATTACACCAAATACACAAAATAATGTTCTTTTTAGCAATGTCATATGACCCCTTTAAGATTGTGAGGAATCGTAAAGATGCACTGCAGTGCAAAAGAGTTAAGTCATACTGTATCAACTCTGCTATTTTTAATTTTTGACATTCTAGAGGAGATTTTAAAAATGACAATAGATTTTTGAAATACACAAAATATTGAATAAAGAATCTGAGCAAATGATTAACCAGACAGGCATGTAATTTGAAAGTTTACTGGCTTTTATCATCTATATAAAATGGGACAATTGAAGAATAAATTTGTTCTGTAATTTAACCATGTAACGTATACTGCAATGAATTCTAAACTGTAGTGAGCTGTCATTCTTGTTTTGTAAAAATACAAAAGAAAACACTATAATGCTACCTGTTGTTAGTGGAGTTTTTAAGGGTAATTGTTTTATGAGTGAGAAAGTCTGCTTGTTGGTTTCCTGGTGTTTTGGAAGAATGTGTTGATTTAAAGCATATATGGAGTGTTTTGATAGTTTTAGTGCATTTTGAATGTGAAATTAACTGGAATGGGTCCTAGCGGTTGTATGAAATGAAAACCTTGATGCCTTTTCTCCTGGGACTTGGTTTATTGCATAAAGTGGACTGCAGGATTACAATCGCGGTGTTTTCTCTAATTTATGTAACATGATCAAATGTCACATTTAACAATCTCACCTTCCCTATTTAATTATGAGGAAGTACTTTGAGAAGCAAAATATAAAGTCTTAGACAAGACAACAAAAAAAATCTTTATTTACTATACAGCCTACAGTTTCCCATGTGAGATGGGGGAGGCAAAGATGGGTGGAGTGCTGGAGGTGAATGAAAAGAACTTAGATCAAAGATGATAACGGATGTTGCAGACAGTCTGGGAGGAGTCGTCTGCTTAAAAAGAAAAAGGAGTACACAGATGATGTTGTGTATTTAGCGGTGTTCAAATATAGCGGTTTATTACACCGTATGAGAGATATTCTCACAAAAGCACAATCATCATGATTGAGTGAGTTTATAGATTTTTTTTTCTACTTTAAGCTTTCAACGGCTTTTGGGGTTGTATTTAATTGGTTTTCCGCCCATGATTTTTACATTTCCAGACACTATAATGATATCTGTCTGTCTGTCTGTCTAGACACTCTATTGAAAAGCCAGAAGAATTAGCAGCAAGGTATGTCAGTTCTTTTCCATCTATATTATATTATATTATATTATATTATATTATATTATATATTATTTTACTACTCATTCCAAGGTATTTGCAACCTGGGCGGTTCTTACAAGTAAGTTTGATTATGAAAGATGATGTTGGTAAAAGCAATTAAATCTGATATTTGTATAAAAGAAAAAAATGCAAAAATCTATCATTATTTACAGGTGCACTCTCCACTCAGAGTAGGTGTGATTTTTATGATACTTTTGGCACACTAGCGGTTTAAGAATAAACTGCAAGTTACTTGTGGAGGAACATTTTTGGTTGGTTAATTACTTGTGTTGTGTTTCAGCTATTCTGCACAATCTGATGGCAAAAGGCGCACAGCTGTGAAGTTTGTTTCTGGGTAATTGTCCATTTTTTTTTGTCAGAATGCTGTATTTTAGTTTATCTCACAAATTAGACTTTTCATCTCAGAAATGTGAGTTTATATCTCGCAATTTTGAGCTGTGAGACTAAAAAAGTAGCAATTCCCTTTTTTATTTTTATTCTGTGGCAAAAACAAGCTTCCATATGTGTTGCTGTGCTAACTTGATGCATGCTGTCTTACGGTTACTGACGCTCTCCCCTTTTGCTTGCAAATTCTTTTGATTCAGTTTTTGTGGATTCAGGCCAGACGTTGGACCTAGCCATTGTTTGGCC